GATCCAATCACTGACATCAGCCCCCTCCCAAGCTGCGGAAGCTTCAGGCTTCCCAGTCTATTGTCATTTATACCCAAAGGAAATAAGGGAAAAAAAAGGAATTGGAAGATAGGGGGAGGGAAGAGAGAGGAAGAGGAGGAATTAGAAAGTCATTTGTTATATCTATACATAGAAATCAAAGTAGAGATTAACTCCTCACCCCAGATTGTAGATGGCTTTCAAGTGTTGACTAGTAGTCACACTAGGTGACCTCTGAGACCCTCACCAACTCCTCACTTCCTGCTCCCAAACCAAAAAACCCAGGCCTCAATTCCAGGTGAATTTCCAATTTTTAGGTGAATTATGTAAATAATCCATTGCTTGGTTTCTCCAATTTGTCTTAGCACCAAAAAGGAAAGAGAAGAAAAAGCAAGACAGAAAAGAAGACAGAAGAGATAAACCACACCATCATAGAGGAATACATATATATGTAAATATATATGTTTATATTTGGAGTTTTACCCAAGATATGACTATCTCCCCTGACTGAATATCCAGCATGATGTGGAAATCCCAATTGCTTGAGGCAGAGTGGGCTGATGAAAAATCTTGGGTTGGTTCATTGTTGATTCTCTTTCTTCCCCCACCCCCCACCCCCCTAGCTTTCACAGCTTTGACTCTGGACCATCTGTATTAGAGACAAATTCTAACACTGCACTAAAAATAATGATACCAAACATTTTAATTGCACCTTTCTGTGACAAGGTTACTATAACAGCACTTTACCATAAAATCCTACAGCTCGATTACAAAACTATCAGCACTTTCATTTTAAGAAAAAACAATTGGAAAAGCATTCTGAGCCTGACTTCCCCATCAAGGTCTCCTGCAGCTGATTTAAACACACACACACACACACACACACACACACACACACACACACACTGTATGCGAAAGAGGAGAGACCAGCTCTCTCCTTAGGGAGAGAAATCCATAGCAAGAGAATTCCACAGCAGAGCAAATAAGAACCCAATCTATTGCCAATGGAATCTAACTGGACTGAACAGGACACAATGGGCAGCTGTGAAAACGCAACTCTCTTAAAGGATTGGTAAAATCCATCTCCCTCAAATAGATCTTAAGGCCCATCTTACAGCTGGACAAATGGTGGTGGTGGGGGAATACCATAATTTGCCTTGTTCTCATTTATCAGGCATTCTTACTTGGTGGAAGTAAAAGGGAAAATGGATCCATACTAAGGACTAAGAACACATCTATATAATATCCAAACAATCAACTAAAAAGAGAAAAAATCAACCAAGTTGTTTTTTTTGAGACCTTGATAGTATGGTAGAAAGAACAAGGTTGACTGGGAGTCAGAATACCTCTATCCCAGTTCTGCTACTTTGGCTTGACCTAAAGCAAGTCAACTCCCTGTTTGGTCTTCAGTTTCTTCATTCATACAATGGTATAAAATGTAAACATTTGCCTTGCCTGATTCATAAAGGCTGGAGTGAGCATCAAATGGGAGAATGCATTTAAAGGGCTATAGAAGTATGTTACCATTAAGGTGCTTGGTTTTGTTTTTGTTTTTTAGAAAATGCCTTTTTCTTAAAATATAGATAGATAGATAGATAACCTTGCTTCCATTGTTTAGATGTAGTCCAAGGCAATTTACATTGACTTATTGGTTTTATTTTTTCCCCAATATAATGTGACTAGATTTTTTGAATGTTCATCTATGTGGTATAGTGACTCTCACTTTTGTCTAATACTATTCCCTATATCAACAAAAAAGGTCTTTAAACCACTTTCAGATGCAATTGTCTATACTGGCCAGTTTGCAGCTTCCATATTTGCCAGAGAATGTCTCCTGTCACAAAAATTCTAAATAGCCAAATATCTTCTAGTTGTTTTTGTCCCTCTGAAACCTTCCTTTGGACTAGTGGGGGGAAAGAAGAAAATGACTGGGTGAGTGGGGAGGGTCAGGACAGAGTTCAGATCAAATGAGTTCTTGGTCTTTTCTGAAGGCTTCAACTTATCCCTGAGGAAACCCCCTGGGTTGGCTCCATTGGAACCAGATGTATGGGGGGGGGTGATTTTTGTTAGGGGATGGGACAGAGAGAGTTGAATGTGTGGGGTAAAGGAAGCAAAATAGCTAGGGGAGTTCAAGGCCTAGACTTGTTCCATTCTTAATATCCTTTTGCTGTCTATACTCAAAATGAGGACTTGAAATTATCAAATGGTAAACATTTAGTACACTGAGATCCACAGTTACCTAGAGTACAGGCTCAATTTCCATCCCACTCCACCCCTTTGGCTCTCATCTTCCTGGGAGATTTTTCTATAGCCCTGAATGACCAAAAAAGATGAGCCTCAAGCTGAGTCTAGACCCAATGGAAGCTGTGAGATATTGAATATGAAGGGGGATGGGAGGTGAGAGGGAGTTGGGGAGGCATTAATTACCTGATCTCATTCAAAATTGGCACCATCCCCACATAGCCTCATCTGTAGGGGAAGGCTGTTCGGCTTGTGGTCAGTCCCCAGCTTGTCTCTGTATTATAATTAAATACTCAGTGTCAAGATCCCAACCATAATTTATTTAACACTCATTTCTGATTCAATTTTACCTGCCCAGGCTAAAGAGCACTGGAATGTTTGGGGAGGAATTCTAGTCACCTAGAATGTTTGGAGAGGCATATCCTTCAGGCCTAGACACCTAGTGCTTGAGAGGCCTCTGTTCAGAGGGAACTTCAGGCTGTTCAGAAAAGATTTAGAGGCTAGGAGATCAAAGTTCTGCTGCTTTTTGTGTGCTGACCACATTCAAGGGATCCCCTAAGGAACACCTTGAATTAGGAGAGTAGGGAGAGAGACATTTAATAAAATAGAGATGGAGGAAGAGATTTAAATCAACAATTACACAACCATTTTTTTTCTCCTCTTCCTCAGTTTTACATAAAAATGAAGGGGAAAAAAGGGGAAAAACAAAAAAGGAAAAAAAATTGGAGAAAAGAGAGGTCAAATTTGGATTGGGAAATACTTGACTGGAAAAAGGCTGCAGATATAGGTTGTAATTATATAAAACAGCATGTTTAAAAGTGTCAAGATCACTGTGTTTGTTAGTGGCACTTTTGGGGATCTCACCATGTTATAAATGCTAAAAACCCATTAGTAATTATGCAATTTTGTGTGTATGTTTTTCTTTTTAGGAAATTTATAGTCTTCTTTTTGACTGCACTCCCAACTGACAACTTTCCTTCTAGCCTTGTCTGTGCTATCCTTTTTAATCCACATACTAATTGTAATCCCATTAAAGCAGATATAATTTTATTAGTATTCACAGTTCATCAAGCTAGCAATAATAACTGTTACTGCAGAATTTTAAAAACTGCAAAAAAAAAAGTGAGTCATGTTTAAAGCAAACTGTAAACAAAGCCCAGCCAACCTGCATGATCCAAGAGCTGAAGCACCTGATTACAGATCCACGGGCATCTCTTCCCAACAAGAGGTGACACATCAGTAATCTAATTCCCTGTGTCCGACATATATAGTTAGATAATGACAACTCCACAGCAAAACTTTTCCACCACTTTTTTCTACCTCAACGTTATTTTTTTTTTTTAAATTTAAGTCACAGGGAGAGAAAGGAATCTCCAACTTCACTGGTCTGGAGATTACTTTCCTAAGGACAGGAATAAAATAGTCATCAGAGCCACATACAAATGTAGATGAAGGTGAATTCAGAAGCTCCACAAGGCTCATCATATCAAGCTTTCTGATATTTTTTCAATCAAAGTTTTCAAGTTTCTCCCTCAACCTTCCCACTTCCTCCTCTTAATATTCTCAAGGGACCAACACCCAGCTTGACAGCAAAAGCCAAAACCAGTGGAGAGCTCTATTTTCTCCCTTTCTACCAAATTTACAACACTCTGCCAAAATACTAAATGCAGAGGTCTTCGGGAAGCACACTCAGAATAACCAACATTCCACCCAGCTGTCCTTGGGGCCACAATGACCCCACAGATCCCTAGTTGCTGAGGGTCATGATCTCCTCCTCTACCCCCACCTCCCAACCAGTGCAGCCCCAAACCCCTTTAACTAACAGATTTTTTTTTTTTGAAAGGGTGCCTGTGAGTTCCCGGGCCCTTTTGCTAGCCATGCTTTGTATGTCTTTAGCAGGATACCAGAAGCACTTGTTAAAGCTAATGCATCCCCTGCAAACCCATTCTCACCCTGACACTTCAAGGCTTTATATAGAAACAGGATTTTCTAGTCTTACACCAGCAGCCCCTATTAACACTAACCCTGTGCACACAACTGCCCCTAATCTGAAAAGGCCACTCTGAGTTCGACGCTGCTCCTCCCCCCCCTTCCCCAACCAAGAACAGCCGTTTTGTTCCACCAGAAAGCGCCTCCTTGTCCCAGCACCAGAATATCTTAAAGATGTTAATGCAGAAAAGAGGTTTCAACGGAATTTATTTTCTTTTGGAGGAGGAGTAGGGAGGAGGAGAAGTAGGAGGGAATCTTTATTTTTAGCTCCTTCTACGGCTGTTCCTCTGAGTCCCAAGTGTACCCCGGCTCTAAAGGGCTATTCTATTCTCCCTGATAATAGTAGGGAGAAGAATCAGATAACGGGGCCAGTGGAGCAAAATTCGGCTGAACCAAAAAATTCAGAGGCCACCAAAACCTTCACCCATTTGTTTACAAGTCCCAAACTACAAAATCCTCAGAATAAGGGAAAAAATTAGTAAAATTAAACCAATCTTCTAAATTAAAAAATTTTAAGACCTTCTTGAAACACACCCTTATGGTTTTATTCGCTTCCCCCAACATCCCTTAGAGATTCTCCGTGGAAGAAAACAAGAGAACCCAGGAATCCAGGGCAGTCAGCTCCCTGGCACAGTGGCAGCCTCCTGAGCCTCCTGCCGGGGAGTTCCCCAGAGTTCTAGTACCTGGAAGAAGGACCCCTCCCTACTCTCCTGCACCGAGGTTAGCACTGGGTAGGCAGGGACGACACTGACCTGTGTGCGTGGCCATAGGCAGCGGCGACTGGAAGTACTTGCCGGGCGGGAAGTGAGCCGGGTGCTGGACTGCGGGGCCTGCCGGAGCTAGGCGTGAGGCGGCGGCGGCCGCGGCTGCACTACGATGGCCCAGGCTCCCGCGCTCAGAGAGCAGATGCGACGGCGGAGCGAAGTCCCGGCCATCCATGCCGGGGAGCCGGCAGCGGCGACTCCGGCCCCTAGCCAGCCGCCGCCGCCGCCGCCCTCCCCGCTCCTCCTACTCCTCCCCCCACTGCCGCTGAGGCTCCTCCGCTGGACGCCGAGATCTAAGCGGCAGTAGCAGTAGCCGCGAGCGACAGCAGCAGACAAGCCGGGAGCGCTGGTGGAAGAAGCAGAGGAGCAAAAAGAAACTGAATCCGAAGCCGAGTGAAACGTTGTTTGGGGCAAGAGGGAATGATGATCCTGGTGAGAGTAATGTTTTTTTTTTAAATAATAAAAAACAAAATAAAACTGATAATTAAATGATAACAGTAACGGGCAGAGCAGCCAAGAAGAGATCCGGAGTTAGGGATTAAATCCTTCAGCGGGTCAGCCGGCTGGGGTCCTCCAGGGCTGGCCAGGTGCAGTTCCTGCGATCGGGGCTCATAGTCTGTGGAGTGAAGGAGAAAGATACTGTGATTCCGGCTCCGGAGTCCCCCGCGGCGCCCCCGCGCCCCCTCCCAACCCGGGCTTTTTCAAAGTGACCTGACAGTCAGACGGGATGTCCAGGGCATCGAGGTACCGAATGGAGGGAGGAGTTAGTGGGGTGAGGCGAGGTGCATGCACACAAAGTCACTGAGACAGACACTGAATCACTCCTATGGATGGACACATGAAAACACCAATATCGGTGGCCCATCGAGACACACAGACACACAAACACACAGGGACATACACCCACAGAAAGATCATAGAGATAATGAACACACACACTCTCTCTCATAAATTAATGAAATCCTACAATGTCATCCCTCTCTCCAACCCCCTCCTCCTTTCTTTTCCCTCCTCCTCACTTTAGCCTGGGTTCCTTGTCCCTGGTTCGAAGATGTTTCTCACTTGGACAATAACAGTCCAAATCTATGAAGCTGTTTCTTTCTTCTCTTCTCCAGACTCTCTCTCTCTCTCTCTCTCCCTCCCTCCCCCTCCCTTCCTCCCTCTCTTCCCCCCCCAGGTGTCTCCAGTAAAATGGAATTCTGTTCACACTTGTTCTTTGCCCCCCCCCCCACAGGTCCTACTTTTACTGCATCCCTCTTAACCGAATAACCATGCTAATTAAGCGAGTAATTTTATTGATTGTAACTCAAGAGGTTGCTTAAAAAAAACCGACTCTTTTTCTTCCATCTGCCTACTCCCCAACCATAACAGATTTGTACCCCATTCTTTTGAACCTAAGAACACCTTCAGTCCTCTCTCCTACTTCTCTCCCCCCCTCCTTATATACTCACCTTTGGGAACCCCACCTGGACTGTGGAACTCCCAAAGCCCTCAAATCCCAAATTCATTTTCTGCTCCCCACCCCCACTGGTTACCTAGCGAAAACTGCAGTGATCAGTCCATCTCAAACTATCTCCTTTCTTTCTTGGCACCTATGGGCCCACGACCCAGGGATTTAGTGAAAGGTTGGGATTTGAATGCAAATGATTTTAACTATTTTTTTCCTATTGAATAAATGAAAGGTTTTCTCTCTCCCCCACTCGATTTCCTCTTCCCCCAAAAGAATCAAGGGGACAGCACTCCAGGTTAAAGGACGGGGGAAGGGAGCAGTGCCCCAATGACTAGATACTGGCCTTTTTGAAGGATCCATCCAGGAACTGAATTTCTCCCTTCAAAATCCCTAGCTGAGAGAATGGGCGTGGGGGTGGGTGAGAAGGTTAAAACTGCATCTCTTTTCTGGAATGTGTTGGTCCTTTCAGAAACAGATGAAGGGAAAAGAAAAATCCTCAGCCAGAGGCCTCTGCCGTTTCTCTTTGCATTTCGGCTGGGGATTCCCACTCCGAGGGTTGAGCACCCAGACTCAGACCAAACAGTTATGTAAGCGGCTCGCTTTGCAGGCGCAGCAGCTCACACACTGGCCCTTGGCTCCTGCCCACTTCTCACATCGCCAGACCAACAGCAAATCTTCCCTTCCACACCTGGGAAAAGAGGGGTCTCGGGCCAAGTCGGCTCCTCTCTACTGCCACTTGCTCCTGATTTCAAGTCTAGGAGTGTATAATAATCACTCCACCACCATTCTTTTTTACCCAAAATCTACCTTCCATCCCCTACCAAAATCTACCCTATCTACCCTGCTCCCCTCCATATTTTCAAGTCGAATCGTAGTCACTCCCATTAAGACAAAATCTGAATCGATTAATAAAGCCCGGATGAGGCAAAGAGAAGAGACAATCTATATTGTGTACATATATGTGTATTATTATATATTTATATGTGGAAGTTAAGTTCCCGCCTCCTAGGCTTCTTTCTCAGCGCTCATTCATTTTGTATATTTTTCCTTTCCTCATCGCATCGTTTTAATGTTTAATACCACATCTAACAAAAGGAAACAATAATAGACTCAATATTCTTAATAGTGAATATAACAGAAAGTCTTATGGGTTTGATGTGTGTGTGTGTGTGTTTTACCACCCCACCGCGACAACAAAGTGATTAAGATGTTTTTCATTTCGTGAATACCATTTAAAATTGTTATATTTAATGCTCTGAGTTCTACAATGTCTTATTTGCAAGCAATTTTGTGTCTGATTTAATCTATAACCGAAAACTTAATGTATTAAGTGAATACATATTTGCTCAGCTGATAAGCTTTTTTCATATTTACACGAGGAGCTTTTGCATTGTAAATACAAGGGGACTACACAATGAGTTCTCTTTGTCTTACAACTTCACACAAAGGGGCTAGGGGCTCCCCTCCCCCTCCCCCTCCCCGGTGGAGAGCCCAAGCTATCTCCCTCGATCTAACAAATATTTCCTAGTCCTCGGAGGCGCTAGTAGGGGGATAGGGTGGGGGGAGAGAAGGAAAAGAACATTTGAAAACCCCTAATGGAGAAGTGAAGATCTCCGAGCTAGTAGGCCTACTTGCAGAGACTCAGGAGCGAACTGTCCACGCAGGAAGTGAGAGATCAGGGCCGCTGCAGGGCAGACCCTAGAGTGCGGAAGAGGGAGAAATCAAGAGAGAAAGGAAAATCGCTAGTTTCAAAATATCCGAGACTGGAATGAAAGAGGTTGCAAAGAATGTATAGTCCACAAAAAGAGAGAGACAGACTTAAAAAATCTGAGAACAAGTACAAGAATATTGAAATTCTGGAGACCTGCGCTGATCCATTCCTCGTTCTGTCGCTCCCTTCTTTAAAGCAAATCGAGGGTAAATTACCTTTATGTTTAAGATTACTTCGTTACCTATTTTAATTTTTTCCTACCCAAGGCGAAGCTGCTTTACCCCAGCCCTGGATTCTTCCTGGGAGCTACGGCTCAGATTCATTCAACCCCAGAGTTCGTTAGGTTTCCCCCCGGGGCAGGATAGGGAGAACGACCCAAGCAGCCGCTGCCGGGTCCCCCGGATGGCCTACACAAGGCCGAAGCGACTCTACCACCCACCCGAATGCAGAACCCTCCCTTTACCCTGTGCCTGCATTGCTCCATAGATAAAAGCCCGCGCTAGCGTCTCCAACCCATCTACCACCTCAAGCTGCGCGCAGCCAGAGAATTTCCTTCCGCCACACCACTTTCCAACAGTCTCTACCATCTGCATTCAAGGGAAGGTGACTGAGAGCTCTGAATCGAGCAAGCAGTAGCTCCATTAAGAAAAAAGGCCAGTACGGCTTTCCAGACCAGCCAGTTAGATTGTATCGAGAAAGGAAAGGGAATATCGGTGTAAAGACCCGAAGGGGTTGTGGAAAGAAATAGGAAGGAAAGAGCATGAGCTAACTTTGTTTCTGTGAAAGGGACACAGGTACTGGTTCTTGTATGGGGGTAAAATGAGAAAATGTATTTTAAATAAGCCACCAAAAATGGATTAAAAGAGGGGGAAAAAACACAAAGGGCTGAGTCTGGCGGCTGCAGAACGGAAAAACGTGGGCCCAGCCGAGCCCAGCTCAAGCCGCCGCCTTTTCTTCGGCAACCCTGCCCATCGGTGATGGTTTGTTTTATTTCTGAGCTCCGGAGAAGCATTCAGGCGCCCCTCGGGTCCTAACTGGTCCCTGAGTCAGAACTCGACTGCCTGCTTGTAGTCGCCAAGCCAGGCCTGGTTGTAGTTAAGAGCATGGGTTGAGATTTTTAAAATAAACTCACATAGTTGCTTAAATTAGCAAAAAAAATTTTTTTTTGCAACCAAAAACCACTTTCTCTTGGCTCATAAAGACCCATTCTTCTCGCGTGTCTCCCTTTCTCTCTCCAAGAGTACATCCAGTTAAGGCTCTGGTCCCTGAACCGCCTGCTCTTAGGGTCGCAGAGTACTAGCGAAGCGGAGCAGCAGAGGGAAGAGTTAACTTGGGGTTGATGGAGGCGGCCCGAGGGAGCAGCAGGCTGCTACCTGCACTACCACTCGACCGCCGGGGAGAAGAAGCTAGGCCACCAAAGAGGGTGCGTGCTTTGTCCTGTCTTCTGCGCTTCTACTGTCCTGGTGTGGAGGAGGTGTTCCCCGGGTTCTACTCTTCCTCTCGCAGAAGTCCTGAGGCCGAGGGAACCCAAACCTCCAGAACCCGCTCACAGCGAATTGCAGAAGCGGTTTGGCCGCCCTATCTTCTCCCTCTCGGGGCTCTGGAGCCCCGGAGCTGCAGAGCTCCAGAGAAAACAAAAGAATATGGAAAACGCAAAGACAGAATATCCCTCTCCTTTCTTTTCCTTCTCAAGAAATAGAACCCCCTTCCCTGCAGCAGATCAGGTAGTCCCCTCTCTGTCCCCAGGATCCCCAGCTTGAAAAACCCCAGGCCGAGGGCTCGCGCTACCAGGCTTCAGCTGCAGTTTCAGACCCCGAGGGGTGAAAATAGAGACAAAATTTAAAAGCTGTGCAGATTCCAGCCCAAAAACACAGCTCGAATTCGGCACCTTCCGTCTCGCATCCCTTACAACGCCCCCCAGACACCCAGAGGCGTCTTTCTTTTACTTTCTCAAGCGAAAAGTGAAAATTAGAAAATTAACTCCCCCCTTCAAAAAAAAATTAACCTGACCCCT